TGTTTGCTCTCTGAAATAATCAGTTCTTTAAAACCGCACAAGAACGTCGGTGAGCACACGGTTTAATAGATCAAATTGAACTCAAAATACTATCTGAGACCCACTTTTGTATTTTCGTTCAGTGAAGTTAATTATCGTTAAATTATCGGTTCTTATCAGGTAAAAGCTTGAAGCTTGAGTATCACATCAGTTAATAGATAAATATCAGTTCTAAATCTCGACTGAGGTACATTTCTGCATCATTTTTCTGTGAAATTTGGCGAATTATCAAAGTTAGGCTTGCAATTCTTGTTCTATGTTTGCTCTTTAATGGCACTTTCAATTGATCAGTTTTTCGAGACATCGCTCGGTTGACGCTCGTGTGGCACTTATTAAGACAAATCGGCTTAATAAACTAATGAAGGCGCCTTTTCTGTGAAGTTTGGCGAACTTTCGAAGAAGAACGGGTTCTTTCAAATTATCGATTTCTTGCAACCTCACCGGAAGAACGTCGGTTAGCACACGCTTTAATAAAGCAAAATCAGCTCTAAAATCCGTACGAAACTCATTTCAGTATCTTCGTTTGGTGAAGTTGGGCGAATTTTCAGTCGCGCTTGCAATTCTTGTTTCATGTTTGTCTCTGTAAGGGCTCGTTGAAATTATCGATTCTTCAAAACCGCACAAGATCGAACGTCGGTTAGGACACAGTTCAATGGAGCAAAATCAGCTCTATATGCTGTATGAGACCCATTTTTGTATTTTTGTTCTGTCAAGTTTGGCGAATTTTTTCTCGAACTTACATTGGAATTGTTGGTTTATGGGTGCGCTGTAATAGCTTTTGCAAATTATCGGTTTTTTGAAACCTTATCAGGTAAAACCTTGAGTAGAATACCAGTTAATAGGGAAAAATCAGTTTTAAACTCCGGCTCACGTACATTTCTGCATCATTTTTTTGTGAAATTTGCCGAATTTTCAAAGTTTCAAAGCAATTCTTGTTATGTGTGTCCTCCGTAAATGCTTTTTTAAATACTAGAATGTATCGCAAGAAGCTAGATGGCTGTCTTGCCCAGCACTACCGTTTACTAGAGAACGATCAGCTCAATATACCAACCGAGGCTCATTTTTGTAACTTGTAATCATTGTATTAATGCGAGAATTAAGGCTTGTAATTCTTGCTTCAATTGTGATCTGTAAGAAGATTTTTAAATAATCGATTCTTCGAAGCCTCACAAGGGAAAAACTATGGAACATCATTTCATGCAGTAAAATCAGCACACTCCTTTTTGACGTAAAATTGGTATTTTATTTATGACAAGTCTATTCTTCGACTTTATTATATTTTTGTAATAAAAATGTAACACTCTGGAGTATTCTACAGTAAAAAGGTACTCTTGAATTGCAGTGCTGGCAACTGTATTTTAAAGGCGTGTTCTTTCTTCCACGCACATAGAAATAGCATTATGGAAAATAAAATATTCCGTCCTTATAAAAGGAGTTTTACTGTAAAATAAAACCGTAGAAAGAAAGTAGTACGTTGAGTAGTGTATTAAAACGAATTTCCTTGTGCAACAGTAAAACTGCTCTGAATAAAAACTAAACAGATCTCAACACATTCCTCTGCAGTGAACACCAGTGTTTAAGCAACTGTATTTAATGACTACTTGAATTACTGAGTTAAGAACTTTTTTTTAAATTATCTAGTAATATTACAAACTACCCGAAGGTATTCAGAAATTTTGTTTGACATTTTTAAGAAACTGACCTGACTAACTGAAACTGAGTTAAGAACTGAGAGAAGAACTATTTGATTCTAAATTAAATTTTGATCTGAAATTATAAATAAACAGCAATCTGGACAATTAAAAAAACAAACCATCTTTAAAAAGATATACCTTATTTCTGAAGCAATTTCATGGTCGTTTCGTAAGGCCATGTATATCCATGGACATTAAATCATCTCTCAAATTTCCTGTCTACGTTTATGGACACCTTGTATATTATAATATTTAATTACAAATAATATTTTTGTATGAACGCAAACTGGATCTGCTTTGCACGAGTGCAATTGGCTTAATTAAATCAAAAACCTCTACCTCAATTTTTCCACCTTTTTATGGTTATTCATTGTAAATATCTTGCACAAAGTGAACAAATAATAATACATTATTGTATTATTTCTATATTCTCATCCGACTTACTGGCGCCTGATGATGCTGAAGAATATTCATATGAATGCAATTGCGCTCACAATGGCATAAGAAAAACGTGGAAAATAACTTTACATAATTTTTTGCTGTGTGCTGTAGAACAAACGAAATGTTCACAAATTTCCTTCTCACACTCAAGAAGCGTGAAATAAACGATGCATAGCAAAATACAGCTGAAGTTTACGGTCAATGAATTCTTCGGTACGTACTGCCAGATTAGCGTACAACTAAATAGGAATATGTCTGATAATAACTACTAAATAGAAATATATCTTATATGGTGCATTAATTTTACCGTTGCATTAATTGACATTAATATTATTGAAACAAGTGGGTTTTTCGGGTTTTTAGGCCGTCGTTCGGTAGAATTTCTTCTTGACGTTTCGCAAGCACGTGTGGCTTGCATCTTCAGAAGTGGTTTGCTTGAACGCTCACACTGTTCTGATGCGATTCCTCGGGCGCAGTCCGTATTTATGCACCGGTGGCGATAACGTGGTTTGTGATGACGTGGCCTGTGTCATCGGAGCTTGCCACGACAACAGGGTATCGCCCCCGACTAATACGAGAAGCCATTGAAATCTACAAACACGACGACAATTTCAACAGAAAAGAAGAGACAATGGCGCTGAACAGGATATGGTTTCCAGCACTCACCAACGCAAAAACAACAAGAAAAAGCAACAGCTCAGGACAGGAGAGAGAATCCTGTACATCGGAGGATAGCAACAGCCAACAGAATGCGCAAGCTCCGATGACACAGGCCACGTCATCACAAACCACGTTATCGCCA